ATCGTTACTTTAATAAGACTTTAATAAGATGAGATGATCTTCAAAATCAACCAATCATAATAAAGCCCGCTATGCTCACGTAATATGGTACGTCATACATACGCCTTCTACTTTTTTTTCTCACTCCAGAAATGTCCGGTTTTCTTGGTACCCCACTTGCTGTTCTTGCAGATTCTTCCAAAGCTTCTCACCCATTTTTGTATCCTGAGGCAAACAAGGTTTTTTTTTATTTTTTTTTTATTAATTTATGAAATTGAATTGTACAACGTTGACATATACGTACTGTACATAACAATATATGTTTTTGAAAAGTGCGTTGCATACGGTGAATTTAGGTGTGGGTATAATGGAGATAAGGAAGATACTCGTGTCCTCTTTTATGGATTTCGATACATGTGAGTCTTTACTTATAAATGTTAACTTTGAAATCATTCAAATTTGTCAATTTATCAATTTACAAAAAATTGGTGTTTTTAATAAGAATTGAACATTACGTTGCCGTAAAATGGACTTTACAAGATGTTGAACTAGCTGAAGAATTCTATGAAACACATAATATTAATTACACGAGTTTTCCTTTTACAAAAGGCTTATTTCTCAAGGTATCTTGAAAAATGTTGTGTTGCCAATATTATATAGTTCTTTAATGATGTAGAATTGTGACATTTCAATTATCAATTATCTAGTTTATTGAAGAATATGATGGTTACTTTCCAATAAAAATTGAAGCATTACCAGAAGGTACTTCTTGCCATGCACATACTCCTGTTTATCAAATTACTGCTGAAAAAGAATATGCACCATTGGTTACGTTTTTGGAAACTTTGTTAAATATGACTTGGGTAATAGTTATTTAACGATTATTATTTAATAATTAATATGTGGTCTCTTTAATATTTAATTTTCTTTTTTACAAAGTATCCATCTACTGTGGCAACTCTTTCTCGGCGTGCACGTGATATTATTGAACAAGCATATTTTGATACTGTTGATGAAGAAGATTATGGATCAATGGAAGGGTAAATATTATGGTTACAGGGTTAATTTCCCGAAGTATATATTCTAAAATGCCATTTCACCAAAGCCATAATAATACAATCCATTTTGCTGACAAGACATAATTTTGATATCTCATATTAAATTATAGATTATTATTTTATTTCATATTGAGGAATCAGATTTTCGAGAAATTAATTTAATTAGGAAAATGCATTCGTTGAAAATTTCAGAGAAATGGGCTGTCAGAAATATGTCTTGTCGGAAAATAAGGTTATTATGATATTTGGGAAAGCGAGCATCGTGAAATTGTGCAACAATGAAATATTATTATACTGAATAATTAAATATTACAATACTACTAAAGTCGATTATACGATTTTGGTTTCCGTGGGTGTACTTGCCTTGAACAGTCTGTAATCGGTGGATCTGCCCATTTAGTTTGTATAATTTTATTAAAATTATGCTATTTACTACAATTATGAGTATTTACTTTCTTTAAACTAAAGGTCAATTTCACAAAATCTGCTACGATGAGTGCTAGTTACTATGTTCAATATAAGCTTAATAATGGAAAACCTGTTGGAAATGCTGTTCCTGCCACGGATCATTCAGTTATGACCGCACACAAATCTGAAAAAGTATATTGATTATAATATACAATTCACTCTCTTTATACAATAGTAAACTTTCAATATTGTGAAGATTATTAATAGAACGGATCACTTCATATAAAGAGAATGAAATATACATATATATACAATATATATATTGAATAAAATAAATAAATAATTGATTAATTAAAGGTCCACGCTTAATCCAATATTCATTATAAACGCTTTCATTTTTAATATTTAGGATGCTATTTTACGTACAATTAAACTTTTTGGCACCGGTACCTATGCTTGCGTATTGGATTCTTTTGATTACGCCAATGCGTTGAATAATATTTTGCCATCGATCGCTACTCAAAAACTTGAAAAGGGTGGTGTCATGGTTCTTAGACCTGATAGTGGTGATCCTGTAGAAGTTGTTTTAATGGCGCTCAGGTATATTATATTAACTCATTTAATTTACATATTAAATAGTATTATTGACTTTTTTTTCAAATAATGATTTACAGAGCTTCAGATAAAGTATTTGGAAGTCATACAAATAAAAAAGGTTACAAAGTTCTTCGTGGTTGTTCTGTCATTCAAGGTGATGCTGTTACCATTGAAAGTATGAAGGTTATTCTGAATGCTGTCAAGGAAGCTGGCTACTCAGCACAAAATATAACTGTTGGTATGGGTGCTGGTCTCTTACAAAAAGTTAATCGCGATACGATGAGTTTTGCCACCAAATTATGTCACATTACTTATGCTGATGGAATACAAAAGTTAGTTTAGGTTATAAATTTATCTTTATCATTTGTGTTATTAGTAAAATTATACGTTTTAAATATATAGAGATGTTATGAAGATTCCTAAGACAGGATCCAAAAAGACTAGTTTACCTGGAGAATTTATTGTTAAGAAAAATGAACATGGTGTAAGTAAAAAAAACTCTTATTATTTACTTCCTTTCGATTCTTTAATTTCAACTCGAGTTTCATATTTTATATTGCAGGTGCCAATTGTTTATCCAAAAGAGGTTTGCGCTGAAAATGATCCTGAAAACTTACTGCGTGTGGTTTACGATCATGGTAAAGTATCGGAATGGGATGATTTTGATACTATTCGAAAACGCGTGGCTAAAGAGTGGCCACTTTTACCGCGATCTTATGATAACATTAGTCCAGAACTTAAGTCAAAAAGTTCAAAATGTATTCAAGAGATCCAAAATAGTATTGCGCAATGAATTTTTATTTTAAAATATATTGTGTATACTCTATAGTATGTAAACAAAGGATTATAATTTTCTAAAAGTGATACAAATCGCATAAATTTCATATTGTGAGAATTTTTATTAAAAATAAGGACACGAAAAAATGTTTTTCATAACTCAGTCAGGTCAATAGAACAATTTAAAATTTATGACAAAATAAATTTGCAAATGATATTAATAAAGTGATGCGTAGCGTAGAATTGTAGAGTTTTATTATCTTTATTGGACAATAAAAAGCTTTTAAATTTATAATTTTGCCAAATACATTATCTTAAACTATTAAGTGAATTAAATGAAAACGAGAGAAAAAATTAAATTAATATTGTGTTTAGAGAATATTAAAAACAGATTTAAAATCTTGAATCTAAAATCCATACTTTATTTCTCTGCTAATCTAAGTTACTTAACCCAATACTTTTCTTTGCTTCAAGCTGATTAAGGTTTAAAGAAGTTGGTGAAAGCATTTTTGCAAAATGTCATTGCTAAGGCCTTTTTCCTTCTAAACAAACTTACTCTGAGATTCAAATAAGCTGGCACGGTGTTCTACTAAATGCCTCAGTTAATTTTTGAAACCAAAATTAAAAATGTGGATGTGATTTTAATGTGCTTCTAATAACATTTTCTCCCATTAAAGACGTTATATTTAATTTATATTTGATATTATAAATATTATAAATCTAAAAAAAAAAAATTTGAACGATCACGATAAGTAAGCTTGGACTAGTGTTTGATATCCAATGTTTCAATGTTCTCAAGAATATTTAAATAATTTAAAATCATGTTCTCTCTTGAGAACAATCTGAGAATATAATGTTTATCATAAGATATATATGAAAATATTATATATATATATATATTTAGCAAGAATAATAAAAATTTTTTTGAGAACATAAATCTATCAATTTATGTTCTCGAAGAACAAATAATTTTTCAGATATTTTCACTGCTTGGGACCATCTTGTGAAAGGGACTAGGACCGGATCGGATCGGACCGTTATCGGTCATGCTAAGAGCTGGGACGAACCGGATCGATGCATTCCTAGAACAATAAACTAATAAACAAATAAGAGGTTCATACATTGTTTTCGGATACTTGATACAAATTACTTTATATTTGCCGGCTAAATTAATGATTTAATTAGAAGTGGCAGATAATTTATAATTTTACAGCAATAGAGAGGAGCCAAAAATTTTTGTCATATGTTTTAGACTATACTTTCAGTCCGTGGACATATTTATTGTGATTTGCTAAATTATGTGACACCTATTATTAATTTTTTTATGATTAACTAGTCCTTTTAGAAATTGCCTTCGTGTTTTTGTTGAATAAAGGCTACTCATATGCAGAGGAAAGATCGATAATAGTCTCACTAAACGAAGGAATATTAAGCTAAGAATCATAATCCGATGAAGGTTCAAAGCAAAAATACCGTTAAGACAAAATGTTATTACGTCATATATATAAAATTGGTTTGGGTTCAGAATACGTAATTACCCATATAATACTTTGTTACGTTTACGCTGCAAATTAATTCTGTAGTCAGAATCATCTAACATTGATAGATGTGAGTCTAACGTAATGGATGGTCCGTTGTGATTCCGACAATAAAGACTCTTGCTTTCTATTATTACATTTTATATGTTATTTTCTTCCTCCATTATTTTCAATAAGTGTAATTATTGCGTAATGTGTTAAGAGAGAAAAAAAAATGTTAAAAAAGAACGTCAGTACTACCCTATATTTGGTTAGAATTAGAGTATTATTGAATACAAGTTATTTCACTAAAACTTATCAGATTTTTTTACTGTTCTTGTTTATTGGTAATTTTTTACTAAGGCATGATTTTTTTTTACAGATCTGGTCATATTACGGAAAAAGTTAATTACTACCAAAGAATGTTTGGATTCTTACATAGTGGATAGTTTTTTTTCGATGCACTCTCACTTTAAACTTTCAGGATTAATCATACCAGCTAAATTCCTTATAATGAATTGAATAGGCATGCGTTCTAACTTTTATTGTCAACTTCAACTTTCTGATGAAGTTTATTTCCTTAACACACTACAGTTCTTAGACGGGTATATTTCCTTAACTCACAATACAGCTTTTATGAGAATTATAAAAAGTTTATTTTTTTATTTTATTATTTCTTATAAATGACTTGACTTTCGTCCTTTTTCTTCTTTTTTGAATAAAATGTGTTTTGATAACTAAAAAAAAAAAAAAATTATAGCATTAAAACGTCTAAATTTAATTATGAATTTATTTTTTTTAGTGACATGATGTTTGATTAGACAAGTTAAAGGCAAGTTAATAATTTAGAATCATGTAGCAAATGCAACCAGATGATAAATGTGATAATGTAGCAAATTATTCCTAAAAATTCTTTATAGAGTAAATTTACTATCGTTATGTACCTAAATCTATAATAGTTGAAAGTATACTACCGTAAATGCAACAATCAACATGTCAATCAACTGAAAAGCCTGTCAACGAAGTGATAGGGCGATCATTATTGCGAAATCAGATGACTTTATGACCGGTCATATTACAGGTTTTTTATGTATCCTTTTATGGTTAGACTAGTCGTAATATGCTGAAACGTGTTTTTACAGGTAATTTTGTATTGGCATATGAATTTTGGAAATTCACTTATGTTTATTGTTAGATTGTTAGATCGGTATGGGGGGGTAAGGGATAATGGCTGAATGAGATATTTAAGGCCAGTTGTTTTGGTAAAGAAGATTATCTTTTTCTTCGCTATCGCTCGCCTTGTGAAGGCTGGCTCTATCACCCTCCCTTACCCACCCGAAGT